ACTGGCGAGGAAAAGCTGCGACCTAAGACAAACATAAACATGTGCATTTTAGCTTAGATAATCTGAAACACTGTATAGATGGTTGTTTAATTAAAAGCTTAAGAAGAGTGTTCTAAAGTAGGAAATCTATAAAAAGTGCAAAAGTTATTGGTTCCTTCATAAAAAACACATTTTTCGACGATGTCTTCAACTCCAATAAGTGTGTTGTTGTCCTGCATGTCGAATAATCCAGTTTGGATATAAGGATAAGAAAATACATCTGTGGCCGTTTTGCATTCGAAATGAGTCGTGTCAGAAATCACTCTCACACAAATGATAGGTTTTCCGTTATTGACTGTGAAAATGCGACTGATTCTACCGAAGTTTTCTTGTGAACCGATTTTAAAGATGATCGATGAATCATCGGCGACTTTATTCCGAGAATATTCCATGGTTGTGAAACGTACTGTGCCGATAAACAGAGTCGAATAATAAATGATATTACCATAAAAGATTAAATTAATGAATGGATCAGTAATGTGCACTCGTTGTAAAATACGTATGTTATCTTTTAATAAGTTGGAATTAGAATCCGACATATGCAACCAAGGAGAAATTAAATTTCGGATCCCATAGTGTATACCACCTGTTAGAGCTTCAAAATGTGCATCACGAAGATACATTAGATTATTCATCATTTCAATCGCATGGCGTCCTGTACTTTTGGAAGATCGTGTAAGTTTTCCTAAAAGTTAATATTCGTTTAGTACATAGTAAATTAGAAATTATCACCGATACTGACCAAGTTGATTTTCGAAGTTGAATGTCGAAAATGTTGATAGTGGGCCAAAGTTATGTAGCGTTTCAGACATATGTAAAATAGAATGAACAACCCAGAATAAGATGTATGAAATGCCGACTTACACGTTGTCTTTAGCAATCTAAGTTGAAATCCTAAAGGTTTCAGTAATATTACTGAGAAATCAGCCAATAAAACAAATACTCGCGTGTCATTTAGAACTCAATTCACAGCTTTTTCTATGAGGGGTAAAACTAAACTTGTGCTTTTTCATTTTTGGTATTGCAGATTGTAACACTATGTTTGACAACAACTCATTTAATAGAAGTTTCTTTTCAGCGATTCTATTAGAATGTTATTGTAAAGTGGTTACTTCGTACCCTTCATATTTTCATAGATGTTAAAAGAACAAAATTGATTTTACTAATTATATATTTTAGAAGCATGAATCCAATTTTATATCGTCACATTAAGAATAATTTATGGTATTCTAAGATTTCTGTTGTAAAATATTAACCCTACATAATTGTTCGTTGTGATAAAGGTGCGATAATGAAGATTGAAACTCTTCAGAGATAGTTTTTGTAAATGATCAACGCCGAAGGAAAGTTAGATTACTTTGAGATTGTAAAATGACAAGAAAACCGAAGAAATACCTGTACATTGTGTCGACTTGTGTACAGTTTCGGAAATTGATAAAGAAATGCCTTACATAGTTTATCAACGATAATCGTCATTTCCTGAGTCAAGCATCGGGATTCAGCCTATAAAATCATATATTTTTTATAGAATAATATAGTTTTATATAATACATCTATTGCAGACTCACATAGTGAACAGCCAAAACAATTAATAGCAAGTGTGAATAATATTCAGGCTTAAGAATATTCTCAAAGATTGAGTAACCAAATAATAAAATGAGTCGGATCTTGCTTCCTTTATGCTTTGTAAATTTACGAAGGGGTCGTGGATGGCGTGTGGTTGTCGATGGAAATCGAATTTTGCTTAACAAAGCAGACAAATCTTTCGTGTGTGCCCATACTGACCAAGTCTCTGTTTTATATTCATCACTGAGCCAGAGTGTGAGAAGCCGCTTCTACAGTGAATAACATTTCGAATGTTTACAGGAGAAAAAAAGTTCGCTCACGAACTTACAAACAAACCTAAGTAGATATTGTGCAAACTGTCGACCAGAAATGACTTACAAACATCAAATTTTAGTAGATTTCGAAGTACACAAACACCTTGAACACCTTTTGCTGCATTTTTATGCGCCTCCTTAAATGCATGCCGACAACGACGATTAGTAAGTTTACTCAACTGTTCTTCATTTCTTCGTAGCTGCTGTAGAAGCTCATCGTGACGATCATTTGTACGTATATGTGCAAGTGGATCATTCTCACAAATTGCAAAGCTCACGATAGAACCATTCTTGTTTGTTGGTACACTTTTGCCTAAAAATATATATAGTATCTAGAGATAAACGATCTTTTGCAATAGACAGTAGTAACTAGCTACAGTAATTCAATAAAACAAAATCCAAGAAAAGACAAGATGATCTCAATGATGAAATGTGGCTTAGTTTTCTTATAGATATTGGCGTTTTCTATGAAAGATACACTATGTTGCGTTTTAGCCTTATCTTCAATTGAGTAATTTATCCAGTAAAAAAGGAAAATAATAAAGCTAAAGTTAAACAATGTTTGCAACGTCGAGCATTCGAATTAGAATTCGTCATTTTTCTATAAAAATCTAGCACAACTAGAATTTAAGTCAAATTTTTAAGGTTCTTCCTTTCACTGAAAAGCCGTGCTAATAAAAATGTAATTTCGATCCGAAAATAGAATCAGAATTGGAATCATCGATTCCGACTTGAATAACTCGAAATTGTCTTAATTAACACTATTCTACTATGTTAAATCAATGTCTCGTCTATCTTAGATTCCAGAATAAACTCTATTTCTTCTTACACGTACCTACAGCAAAAATCTTTTTCCTAGCAATGTAAGGTATATTTAACTCGCCTTCTATCTCACAATGCCCACAACCAAAGAAAGCTGTTGGAACCGCCAGACACTGAACGAGGCATTGAGCTGGCTTGTCGCAGCATGCAGCAATTAAAAAGACTTTGATAGCTTTAGAATCATGGTGTTGATCAGCCGAGTACAGTTCGAAAAGATGACCTTTTTCAAGTTTTTGCAATTCTAAAACAATATTCTTAAAAAGTAATGACATCTCAGTACGTGAAGGCTTTGATGGTCCTGGCCACATGCTGACAATTATCACGTTTTCCAGAGAATATCTTTTCTTTAAATTGATCTCATTTATGACAAGCAGAACAGGCCAAATGTTCTGGTCTGATCCTTTGTTTGGTTGAATGCCATCAACATTCATTGTAAGAGTAATAAATGAATCCGATTCATTTTGAATTAATGTCCTGTATACTTTGGCATCAGTAATATCCCTCAGTGCTGTTTTTTTTAGTACACTATTATTTTGCAAAACTAAATCTTTCGATGTAGCCAATATCGCTTTCAGTTGTTGAAAAATATCATAAGTATAAAATAACGGAATTTTGACGGAGGAAATTGGTGAATATTTAACGGTACATGCAGTGCATTGCTTTTCTTTGGATGATAAATTTTGACAATGTGGACAGATGGTATGAACTGATGGAGTTAAATGTGTCTTTGAACGTTTCCTTAAAATAGTACATAATGCTTTGTAGCTCGGCGGAACATTAATGCCTAGTATGTTAAGAAGAGCAAGAATATCCTCAATGCAATTATTCAATAGATGATGTCTTGATTTGAGAACAATTAATGCTGTGGCAATATTAATCGAACTTATTATTTCATCAGATTGTTCTTCATTTATCACTAAAGGTTGAAATTCTGATCTAGAATATTAACATTTCAAACGCAAAGGTTTTCAGACATTGGTCCCAAACACTTACATTTCCTGATCTACACATTGCTTTGTAGTTTTTTCTGAATTTCTGGCGATAGATAACTGTGTCTTGTCATCAGAAATAAAAGAAATATCAGTATCGGAATTGCCATCGATTTCCATATTAGTAAAATTATTTAAAGCAGGCGGCAAAATATAGTCCTCTTAACGATTGACAGCTTGAGTAAATGCCATAACTGAAATCCAAATGAGAATTATTAGATAAGATACTCATTGTATTTTATACCAAGGTCATCTCTGATGGCTTTAATTTTCCTACGTCGCCAATCCGTCGAACGATGTACAGTAGACATTACCACCTGAAAAGCACTGTTATGAGCATAATCAACAATAGTCTAATTTTTATTCTTCATCTTGATTATAAAAACATGAGAAAAATACATGAACAAATCTGACATTTTTTTTCAATATTACCCAGGTCAATGATTCCGGAGGACGGATACTGTAGGAACCGGCCGGAAAGATGCGGAAAAATCACCGTATCTGGCCGGAAAGCATGGGAAAGCACTGGAAACTGGAAGCAGTATTCCAGTTGGAAGTTACCGGATTTTTTTCCTGTGGATTCCGGTCAGTTTCCTGTGTTTTCCGGTCAGTTTTCTGTGTTTTACATCTGGAAGTTGATCGGAATCTACAGGAAGAAAATCCGGTAACTTCCAACTGGAATACTGCTTCCAATTTCCAGCGCTTTCCTGTGCTTTCCGGCCGTTTCCCGCCGTACGTCCACGACCTGGGTAATAAGCAATACAAATGTTATATGACAAAAAAAATAAAATACTAAAAACTATGACCAACTAGATTACATAAACAGTTTTTATTCTTGTACATCTTCATCGTCTTCAATACTATCATTTATTTCATTGGTTTCGGTAGATTTCATAGCCTCTTCTATTTCCATCTTGCGTTTTTCGGCGGCAAAAACATTTTCTATAGCATTATTGAGTATTGAGTTGGAAGTTTTTGCTTGAGCTGGATGAACCATTTTTGCATATTCTGCAAAGAACAATTACATATCAATATAAAATAATTAGATGCATTACCTTGAATAGCTTTTAACTTTTCGCTCGACATTATGGAAACCAATGTTTCGGCGCGTTCCTTGGGATCCGGATAAATAAATTTCGCAATTTGGCGGCAGGTCTTCGTGATATCTGTCTTATGTTCACATGAGAGTAACTGCTTTTCAGTCATTTCTAATGTACGACAAATAGACAATAATTTTTCCCCTTTGTCTTCTTCGACATCATTATTGATCGATGCCCCAGATAGAATTTTTCCGACATCGATAAAGTAACTTGCAGTAGGACCCGTCGGTCTCGCTGAAAGAAAACATATTTTTGGTACTTATATAAAAGCAGACGATACTTACGCATCCAATTGTTTTTATACATTTCGTTTTCTTTTTTCAATCGCTTGTTTTCTAGTTTGAGCTTCTCATATTCGATAATAGAAACTGCTGAACGTTTTTCCTTCTTGGTAGTAGACGTTGATTCATTAGAAACATCTTTTTCTTTTGGTATTGTATCAGTATTATTATTTATTTCTTGTAAAACTAAATAGAGAAATAATATGAAAAGCGTTAGTTCAAAATATTCATAATTAAGGGGAGTTTTTGTTAGACTCTTAATTTACGTTAGTAATAAACGGAACTTTGTACTGTACTTAGTTATTTGAAGAAAATTAAATTAAATTCTTTTTGTTAATAAATATGACTCAAAATGTTTAAGATGTAAACAAAAATAAATAAACATCGAAGACAAATTAAAATCAAGTTTTTAGTGATTTAAATTAACATACGAATTTTCTTTTTAATTTAACTCTTCATAAATAAACAACCAATTGTAAGAGGGATCTAGCGCATAACTTTTAGTGTTTATCCTGTTTAATCAATCCCATGCAGATCATTATCTGTAAAATTCGTTACAGCATTAACATATAACTCACCAGTTGGATTTGATGAAACTGTAGTGTCTTTTACACCTGATGCAGTGTTAGTATTACTCGAAGTTGTAATAGTAGACATAGCAGAATTATTATTTTCGATTGTTTGAGTATCATTTTGTCGAGATTTTGATGGATTTTTCACAATTACATTTTCATCTTCGGATTCCTCACTCTCATTACCAGCAGCATCGTTTTTTTCGGTACTTTCATCAATAACTAATTCACTTGGCGAGTTTGATTCACCATCTTCAGGTTGGTCACGATTATTATTATTGCTATTTGATTTCTCAACCAATGAAACGTATTTTTCACACTGTTCCTTAGAACCTATGAATATGAATAATGTATACACTTTAGAAAAATCCAGCTTGTGTTATTTACCACAAACTATAACAGTTCCTTGAAAACGACGTGATCGATCATTTCCTCCATTAAATCTTCCACAAGAACCTGCTTTGAGATTATCTTTTTTCGAGAACGATAAATGATCACGTGGAACAACATGGTAACGAGATGTTTTATCATCACGAAGAGCAACGAATATCTGTTTCGGTTGCACCGGTTGTTTGTGTTTTTTTGGGGCCATTTTATGTTAAAATAATAATCTATAGATAGATTTTTACAAAAAAAATTATAACTGAAATAACTATAGCTATAAAATGTTCATTCATTTTTCAAAAAGTAATAAACGTAACCAATTATAACAGTTTATACGATGTATCATCATCACAATCTTTTGTCAGTCCGTTATGATAGAAAAATACGAAACGATATACACACACAAGTGTTCAACCAGCCACAGTCACACATACTGACCTACACTCGGTAGATGGCAGCCATTATCAATCATTCGATAACGATCCCATTTTTTTCCTCTGGCAGTTCCGATTTAAACGTAACCAGAATTCATACTTATCTAAAATAAGTTGGTTGATCCAAGCACTGCCCTTATATCCCAATTTCTCACTCTTCTTTTCACCTGTGCTATTCCACAGAATATTCCTTCGCGACATCCAGTACCAAGCACTAGGCTAAACCATGAGACATATATAACTTTTATCAATCATCTTTTTATCGACTAGATACACATACGCTGCGAGATTTTTCTATGCACATTTTCCAACGCTTTATTAACACCGGGAAAAAAAATTCACACAGTCGCAAATTCACTTAATGATGATTTTATTTTATTCTACTTCTTCCCTTTCAAACAAAAAATCCGAAAATTCTTCTTATTTTCCACCAACACTCCTAAATAAGATCACTAGCAATCTCAAACAATTTCCTAGAGATGTGGGATGCTCAATCTGAGAACCAAAATATCACTATCTTTTGCTGTTCTCTTTTACTTAGATTCATTTTTTCCTGATCTGCGAAAAGAAAAATGGTTCATCTGTTTTGTTTTCTAGTTGACTATTGTTTTGATTACTTTTCCTTATGATTTAGAAAGAAAAATTGTTCAATTGCTTTGCCTTTTAGTTTGGCTGTTTTCATTTTTTTTTCTTACGAGTTAAAAAGGAAATTCGTTTCATCGTTTTTTTTTTTAGTTTACTATTGTTTCGATTATTTTTGCCTTCGAGTTAGAAACGAAAATTGGCTCGATTGTTTTGTATTACAGTCTAGTCATTTTGATTTTGTTTGCTTAGTACTTAAAAAGAAAAATTTTTCAATTGCTTCGCCTTTTAGTTTGGTTGTTTTCATTTTTTTTTCTTATGAGTTAAAAAGGAAATTCGTTTCATCGTTTTTTTTTTTAGTTTACTATTGTTTCGATTATTTTTGCCTTCGAGTTAGAAACGAAAATTGGCTCGATTGTTTTGTATTACAGTCTAGTCATTTTGATTTTGTTTGCTTTTGAGTTAGAAACGAAAATTGGCTCGATTGTTTTGTATTTCATTCTAGTCATTTTGATTTTGTTTGCTTATTACTTAAAAAGATAAATTTTTCAATTGCTTTGCCATTTAGTTTGGTTGTTTTGATTTTTTTTTCTTATGAGTTAAAAAGGAAATTCGTTTCATCTTTTTGTTTTTTAGTTTACTATGGTTTTTGATTTTTTTGCTTATGAGTTGGAAACAAAAATCAGTTCAATTGTTTTGCTATTTAGTTTGATTTTTTTGATTTTTTTCCTTAGAGATTAGATGGGAAGCTTTGCATGTTTTCGTGTGCTCGATTATTTGCTGGATGATAGGTGGTGACTCTTTAAGCGGAACGCTTCTAGATTTTCCCGCGGCGCTGAATGAACTGATATTACAATTATCGGAGACGCTTCGTGTTTCAGTTTATCAGATAGGATCATCATTGCTGATCGAATAGAGTTCGTGAGGAGTGGTACCAATTCACTAGAGGAGTCAAAGCGCTCTTTTGGCGTTACTCGAGGTTGCTTTGTAGTTTTTCCGTAGATCCGTAGAAACTTTTAATGCGGCTCATTGAAATGTGCGAAAACGTCGCATGGGAACTGCCAGAGATCGGCGAAAAGCAGCATGAAGCGCGAAGAAACCGCTTGGCGCTGTGTTGTAAACTCATGCCTCGATTGGTGAGCATTCGCATTCATTGTAATGCATTGAGGTAGTAGCGGATGGCCTTTCGATATAAAGCAACGGATAAAGGCATTATGATGCATTATTTTTTTAATACATTGACATGTATTGGTATTTCAATGCATTTCTGCATTATAATGCATTGAAAATGTTGCATTATCATGTAATTGAGGCCATTGAGCCTCTATGGCAAAATAATGCATTATAATGTCAATTATTTTCGAAAACCGGCTACATGGGTACATGCTACCCAGTAAGGTACAATAAACAAAGCGTAGTACATTTATTATTTTATCTTTTTCTCATGAACAATAAGTTTTTCAAATTATCTAAATATTCATTTAGATAGATCTCAAAAAGCGAACTCCAAGTCTAGGTTGATGAAATGCTTCCAAAGAACAAGGTTTGGGTTTCTAATTCACAAAAATACGTTGTCGATGGGCAAGAAGTTTAGTATATTGTTATTATGCAACTCTGTTTTCATTATTCAATTATATTTGAAAATTAGTTTAGATATCATTCAATCTAGATTTTAACAGGATATGTTTTAACAAATAATTTCTGGTTGATATATTGAGACAAAAATAAGTTATTTAATCACCCATAGTTATTATTAGTTAACAATATCTTCTTGCTGTTCGGTTTGTTTAGAAATTGTTATTTATGTTAAGTGAACTCTACAACAAAATATAAAATTCGAAGACGCTAATTGAATTTGAAAACCTCCTTTCACTGATTTAAAGAAGAAGTTGCTACTTCTATTCTACTGGTAGTGTACTATTCAGACTTGATAACAGTTTCAAATTATGTCACACCAACAAGAATAACAAAGTGGCTCGAAATGGTGAGCAAAAAATACTTCTTTAAAATGAGCCTGCTGTAAAGTTAGATATGTACACAAAAATGTGAATGGTGCCGTCTAACTTGACAGAGCGAAAGTGATCCTTCATATTTCATTGGTATGCTTTGATAATTTTCATCGCCACCCACTTATGAATAGCCAACGATAAATTTTATCTCAATTAAAATCATAAATAGGACTTTCTTCTCACCACACTGGTACCATACTTGAAACTTGAATTCAAGTTAGTTTCCGACTTTCGGTTGGCAACCTGGGTAGTGAGTGCAAAAGACTTCCAGCGGATGTCTTTATTATCCATTGAGCTGCAGCGCTTGATGTTTGGAATGATTTTAATAGTTGACATCAATGTGCATATTAGACCAAGGGAGGAAAAGTGGATCCCTGGATTGTGGGATCCTTTGGATTGTCACCGCATCCCGGATACGAGAATATCATGAAAATAGAAAGGATCTGAAAGTGAAATGACGTATTCACGAATCGATTTGTTTTCTTGGATAAAAAGGGTGATGTAAAAATGAGTGAGTACCATAGTTAGTAGTTCAGTTATGCCGTTCTATAAGTCAATCGAGATGCAGCATCACTGAATATGCCTTCAATCAAAGTTATTTCAGTTTTCTGATCTGGAAATATGTAGCAGAAATAAGACTTTTAAGACTTTTAACGTAAATTGTTTACAGCAGTATTTAAATATTGCTGAAAACACTACCTGCAAAAGAGTACATTTGTTTGTTCTTATATTTTGAGATATTTCAGCGAAAACAGATTCGTTTTGCTTCAGCTGCTCATTGTTTACATACCTTCACTTGATATAATAATCGTAAAAAATAGTTCATCCATACTAAGAGATGCATAACAAAATTATCACTTTTGCAGTACTATATGAATATAGACATTCCATGAAGAAATCGTGCTAGAAAGCTCCAATTTTGATGGAAGTAGAATTTCATAGAGCACTTTCTGTGACAAAAATATAATGCTTTAAATACTTGAAATTACTCGATAGATCTTTGACAAAATCATGAAATCCCATTGGTGTGACTTTGAAGTAGATAAAATGAAATAAAATATATTCTACGAAAATCAGTATAGAACCTTCTGTAGGTTCTCCTAAAGAGCCCTCTCGAGAGAAAAACATTTTCTGGAAATCGCCGTGGAAAGATACGAGGATTGCATAAAAACTTGTTCCCAATAAGAACTACAAGACGCACAAGAAATTCTCAGAATGAATCGTCTTATCATTTTCAAAAGATTTTATAGAATAAGACAGCGTCTCAGGTACTGATTTATATTAGATGAAATTTATTTCACATGATGCAGCTTTTCTATGAATTTTCAAATGAATCGGAATATATTTTGTTACAGAAAATCACTTATTGTTGAATATTCTTAAATAAGATTCGATGAATCATTCTACAAGATACTAGGCCAATTTTCGCATTGCTTTGTAATATATAGCTCATACTTTAAAGTCAGCACTAATAATCGAAGGGAAAGTGTGTTGCATAGGACAACTCGTCTAATAAAAATATTTACTTAAAACCTAGAATAAATTTCTAACACTTTTTTGTTTAATCATCTCAGCTTCTTCTATCCGTGCACGAAGGAACCTATTTATTGAACGTCAACTCATTATACTAATCACATTTATCGTACTGATTTCGAGAAGAATCAAACTGTGAATCTAGAGTATTAAGATCTTAATAAACCCTCGCAAATACAAAAATGAATTCATTGACATCCTTACAATCTGAGTTTAATCAATTCAGTCAGAACTGTTAATCTATTTTTTTCTATTAGAGAATTTCATTTTCATGTGTTTAAATAATAGAAACTATTAGCTATGCCTCTCCACTGCATCTTTTCATCATGAATTATTAGTTTCTTGTGATTTCGCTAGCTTTCCAATGTTAAGAGACACTAGACTTTTTTTTACTATAATATGGTGGATTGTAGTGGATTTCTTTAGATCTTTGTGAATTCTCTTGAAAATAATTACTTTAGGATCTATTTATAATCCACCAGAATCTTTATACTTTTGAAAAAAAGTTTAAAAATTTCTTTGCCAACTAACAGAAAAAGTCAACAACAAACATATACGTTGTGGAGAAGAAAGATGATCAATGATGTTATAATAAATTTTATTCGTCAGTGTTTCTATAAAGCACTTGCTGAAAACATCTCAATGAAAACAAAATGAGAGTTTTTTTTTTATACAACAAGAAAACAATTCGATGGGATAAGAAAATCACCTCATCTTATCCGATGAAATAGAAAAGAGACACGATCATTTCACCCTATTCTAAGTTCTTTTTCAAACTTTATTAATCAAGCACCTGCTGTCTTCCAAAACCATGTCTTCAATTAAAATCCTGATTCTATTTTTAAACAATTTCATAGGTCATAAGAACTATCTAGAGAAACAAGATTTCTACTAAAGAAAGTATTCAACAAGATGTTTTTATAAATAGAATTTCAGCCCTATAATATAATCGAGTTACGAGATATGTGTATCCACACAACATCTAAATATGACAAAATCCTTGTATGCACAGGAATACTGATCTATTTATTCGAATTTCATTCATTTGATCTAATTTTTATACGAAGATGGATGAGCTTGAGATGAGTGTATGCTAAACATTTCGAGTTAAATGAATGCATTGCTATAGAACAATGCATGTAGATATAATCACAAGAAGAGTAACTTTTCGCAATTAGATTCTCAAAACATTTGTACCGTCATCCTTAAAATTAGTTTCCTGTGCGCATATACGAAAGTGAGCGAAGTGAAATAATTTCGATCGAAAATAACTTCAGTTTTTACTTATGTGGGATGACTTATGTACCTATTGACTCGGGGAAATATTTTGCATAGATTGAATGAACACTAAACAATTAGATTTAGCTGCCACTATGCAAATAGAATTGCTGTTTCCCTTACATTGAAGCAATTTCACTCTATAAGGCAATGTGCTCATAACAGAAATAAATGACAAAAAAAAACATTAAAAACTCTATGAAATCGAATGAAATTCTTCAACAAAATCGACTCATCGTAGCCATATTACGTCTATCCTATAAAATTTCAATTTTTCAATGGAATGAACTCGTCTCCTAGGTATCTGTGGATTGCCAACATATCCCAGATAGGCGGAATCCGCTTCTTCCTCCCCATATTTGACACTAGTGTCCAATTCCGCGGAGAATACATTCTATTCCGCGATGTTGAACATTGTGGAGCCAGTTCCACCAACCTAACCAATCCCGCCTATTTCCCGGTATTTCGTTTATCACTTCCATCGAAATTCCACACTCATATTTCGATTCCTACTGTCCAGTAACAGTAATTTCGGAAACCAGTTGATACCAATTCCCAACCATTCCCGTAAATAAGTCAGACTCCGGAATTGAGTGATCATCGCGTTAATATCATTCATAAATAGCACACACCCACACTAACACCCGCAGCACTTTATCCAATCCTTTTTAGGTCCTTCATCACCGCCGAAACCTTTACCATTCCCAAGATGTTCTGGAATTTAAAGAGTTTCGGAAGAGTACCGATTTTTCCACAGAGTCGGCCAATATAACACTTATAAGCATCATATAAAATTCACCATCACTACTTTTACTCTAGCGACACAGTTATGCTAACTAAAATGAAACTAATCATAATCACATATATGATTCCCGTCATGGTACACGCAACTATAGTGCTAAGTGATTTCCAACAACAAGCACTGGATGAACACAACTATTACCGACAGCAAATGCATTGTACGGGACCGATGATATTGAATGTATCATTGAATGTCATTGCAGAGAATTACGCCCAGTATCTTGCTGCCAACAACATATTCAGTCATAGTCTGACGCCGGGGCTTGGTGAGAATCTTTACTATTCGTATTCATCGGCAGGCATCAATTCCATGAATGGTAAGAGTATTTGTTTAGTATACGATGGAATATTGAGTAATTTGAGTCTCTATTTCAGGCTCTATCCCAACCACGGCTTGGTATAGTGAAATTGCTATGTATAACTTTAGTTCACCGGGTTTCTCATCAGCTACTGGACATTTCACTCAAGTAGTTTGGCTTGGATCAACACAGTTGGGAATTGGAATCGCATTAACTAGTGATAACCGAACAGCCTATGTTGTAGCCAACTATTATCCACCAGGGAACTACCTTGGCCAATTTGCCACTAACGTTCTTCCGGTATGCAATTCGAGCACAGTTGCCAACAATGTTTCCACTATAGTCACTACTACTGCGACTTCAACAACACCTTCGGTTGTATCAACAACTTTGCCAGGTAATGGCAGTTCAATGATCGGTTCAATTGTATTGAGTAGTTTCCAGCAACAGGCTTTGGATCAACACAACTATTACCGACAGCAAATGCATTGTACTGGGCCAATGATATTGAATGCATCATTGAATGTCATTGCAGAGAATTACGCCCAGTATCTTGCTGCCAACAACATATTCAGTCATAGTCTGACGCCAGGACTCGGTGAGAATCTTTACTATTCGTATTCATCGGCCGGTATCAATTCAATGAATGGTAAGAATTTTCTTTTAGCTTCGGACAGCATATTGAGTAAAATGATTCTATATTTCAGGCTCTATCCCAACCACAGCTTGGTATAGTGGAATTGCTATGTATAACTTTAGTTCACCGGGTTTCTCATCAGCTACTGGTGCTTTCACTCAAGTAGTCTGGCTCGGGTCTACACAGTTGGGAATCGGAATCGGGTTAACCAGTGATAACCGAACAGCCTATGTTGTAGCCAACTATTATCCACCAGGGAACTATCTTGGTCAATTTGCTACTAATGTTCTTCCTGTATGTAATTCAATGTCATATTCGACAACAACAACAAGCATTCCAGCAACAGTTACGTCCATGTCTCAATCAAACTCGAGCTGGACCACCACGGCCACTTCAACTGGAAGTGTAGCGTCAACAAGTACTGGTGTCATTCTCAAAGGACGTGGAAGTGAACGATACTTTAGTTACCCTCACTTCGGCTGGTATGTTGAGCCATTGGAATGCACTCATTTTTCAAGGTCATGTAAGTTAGAAGACGATATTTTTCAAGGGAATCGTGATGTTTTTCTATAGATACGGTATGCATGGTTTACATGTCAGAGGTTTTCCAAACTTGGTAAAAATGTCAGAATTGAGGATGGAATTAATTGATTGGAATGAACGGAGACAATTCAAGCGAAAAAATTACTCAGTGTTTGGAGTACTAGACACTTGGCTCTTTCATTAATAAAAGCTGGAATGTTAATGGCTTGTGAACTGATACCGTGCGAGAATTATTTTAATCCGATGTATAATCGACTTCTTATGCCACGGGGCGTTTGAATGAAGCGATGAATTTTGTATTGGTTTTTCATAGAGATTCCGAACTAATATAATCCTTTGAAAATCGTTTTGCTTACGTTACAGAGATGATGAGCGACAGGCTGAGTCGGGTGTTTATCTACAGAATACTGTCGATTATGTCAGGAACTTTTTCTAAAATTGATGACTGTAACTACGAAATATGATACTCACTACTAATCCACGTTTATCTTCTATTCTTGAAAAGTCTAAGATCTGCCTCCATTCAACATTCTCATTTTTCTAAATGACTTCATTGAATATCGGATAAATGAATCACAGCGGAATAATAAAATAATTTCTATTGAAACACCATTTTATATATGATCATCTCTTTTAGAATTGGGCCGTAAACCGCAACGCAAATGAGCAGCTGTTACCTTCTATAGGAGTTGTATAGTTACATTTTCAAACAGATGACTTTTTACAATTTGGGATGCACTGTCATCTTGAATTGCTACAGAGAAATGTTTCCGCATCTGTCAAAAAACCGAAAAGTGTTGTTTCCGAAATACAGAATGCTCAGTTTCTTTACAAGGTATATTCAAAAAGAAGAGCCCTCTCCACCCAGTGCACAATCACTAAACTAAGACTACATGTACTGCTTGAGGCTAGTTGAATTTTCATAACCTATTTTTCCAGATTCCACGAGACGTCCTTTATGAATCACTCGAAGCAACTCCGCTAGCAAGTGCAAGCTCGAATACAACAATTACTTCAACACCAAGCGTGATCTCAAATACAACAGTTACTTCCACACAAAGTGTGGGTTCGACAACAACTATGAGTACATTGGGCAACGGTGGGTCGACAACTTCTAGTACAACAGCATCAAACGCTCTTCCCTTCAGTAATGGAAGTACGACACCGGTTGTCGGATCTACCACGAGCGCTGTTACATCATCCTTAGCGACTACACAAGCAGGGACGACCCAGCTCAAAAATTCGGGTGAACGTGTGCATAGCTCTTATGCTGATCGCTTCCTGATTTTCATCGTTTCGCTCTTGCTTGTTTCTTGGTTTTGATAAGAAACTCACTTTTACAGTTTGGGTTAAGAACATTTTGCTTGTAGTTCGTAAATCGCGTTTTATCCTATCAATGTAGTTTTTCCACTAGTTACTTTCTCTAGAAGGCGTATTCTCACGTTTGAATTCATTTTACAAAATACATTTCATCATCTTGTTTGCATGAGAGTTGATAACTAATTGGAACTCTTACCAATGGGATTAAATTAATCGCTACTCATGCTTTAAGTTCTCAGGATCCAAAATTACGATGTGTGGCATTCAAAATACTTCTGGAAAGTATTGTTGATGGTTAATACAAGGTAGAAAGAGTTGAGTACTTATGTCTTCATTTTTGTCACTTCAGAATAAGTCAAGTGGCATGAAGCTAATATCTAAACGAAACTAGACGTAGAATATAAGTGTGTGTGTGTGTGTGTGTGCGGATATGGAACGTATATAAATCAGGTTCTCTTGCAAACGTTTCCTTTTTCTGTCATGGCACACCGATATCCACACTCACACCCCACACAGTAAAATGGTTTATTCGGGCTTTTTATATAGAGTCAAACGAGTGTATTGAAAACTTGTCGTTCTAAAGCTCTGTAATGCTAACCTGATATAATTCCATAGTTAATCGTTCGAACAGATGTCTTTACAAGATCTTGAATTGTAACCACCCATATTTACATCAGTAATAAGATAAAATTAAATCAATCCTCATCTTTTGAACATGATTTACGATAGATAGATTCTATTTTTAGTTTTGAATCAGTGAAACTAAACAATGGATTAAAGTTTGTGTAAAATATTTATGAAAGTGATCAAGTACAAAACATCAACAAAATTCTTCGTCTTTTGCAACGCTGCCATAAAAATTATCGGCTCCTGCATCTTCTATCAGCTTGTCTCTTATTCTTCAGAAAACGGTACAGGAAAACTAAAAAGCATGAGAGTAGTGAATATAATGAAAAGCAAGCACAGGCACACGCATAAATTTGTATGTAAATATCAACGAGAAGAAAGAATATATAGATCAAGTAACAGAGTCATATCATTATTATTCCTACTTAAGTTCATCAGAATCATCTTTTGATCGAAGCTTTGTTTCTACTACAGAATAAAATAGAGAAAATTAATATCTCTGATTCATTTTTATTGATTTATCTATTTTCAAAACCAAACAAAGATAGTATTGTCAGTAGAGCAAGAACCCACCGCATTTCCTGGTGTTTTATCATCATTACTTTTCGAAAAAATCTTAGTACAATTGAGTAGGCAAAGATGATTTGATTTTGTTACTCGTGAATCTCTGATAGAACACAAATAAACTTTTTTCTATGTGATATATATATACATGTATATGGTGTTCAAAGTCATTGAATAGTTAGAGAAAACTATTAATTATCAGTATTATATGAACTTGGTCCGACCGATACAATTTTATTTTTTTCAACATGAAATTCCCAATTTTGAACCGGTGATGTAACATTAGCAAATGGAGCGTTCACTACTAAATTTCCACATTGAATTTTCTCTATTATTGCAGCTTCTGTCCATGTTCCCATATCATAGGTTACTTCTTTTATTAACTGATATTCATTTTTCTTAATAGTAAATGGGCCAAAACTTAACATAGGTCCTGATGGTTGAGACCGAAATACAGTACATTGAATTGTTGACCTGCGTGCATTATAGATAACAGCTGAATAAACAATAGCTGGCGCAGGCAAATCAACTAAATAAGCAATAGTTGGTGCAGGCAAAGGTGAAATTCTGGATGCAAGAAATAAAATAAAAATAGCAAAGTAAATCATCGTCATTATAAATTTATATCTAAAAATGCGAAAAAAATTCAAACATTGAGAAGCAGATTGATTAACTTGGTTTTATATCAAATATTACTAAATTTTCAATCAAAGAAGATGTGTCACATTATGGATTTAGTGTCATAAAAAAATGTTAACCTAAATTTATTACCCTGAGAATCAACATTCATCCTTGGTCATTTCTTCATATCAGGAATCGAAAGAAAAAACAAATGTAGATATCTTGGATTTTGCCCTCAGATGGAATTATAAAAGTACGGAATTCTGTTTTCATTAGAAACAATTTCAAAGGCACGTTGGCCAACTCAGTTTTTTGTGCTGATTTCAAGTGTGGCATTTTTTCAATTTAAATATGGTATCTACTATTCAAAGGAGACGAGTGACTTACTAGACATTTGGTTTGAAGGTGAAAATCGTATTACTAGAAAATGAAAGTTGAATTACATATTTAGTCAAAAACATCTGACTGGTGTACACTCCTATAAAGTGAAAGCTCCTAGAGCCAAACTAATCATTATTAGTGTAACTAGATGGCTCAATCGGATTGGTATTTAGCGATTATTGTTTCGAAAAACTTCGAATGATTTAATTCTTCATGTACGTAAATTCGTACAGAGAAAAACATTCTGCATCGATTGAATCTATATTTCTGAATCAGGCTTAGCTTTTGGTAGACTGTGCACTCAAAAACTGATCTACAGAGCTTGCAGAAAGCGATTCAGATGGTTCTTATGGTCCGAGAAATTTTTCAAAACAAAATGCGATATTTTTAATCAACATATTAAACTAAATAATTTTTCTAAAGCTAAGAACAACCATTATGTTTTCGATTAGTGATGAGGACCTCAGGTATGGAAAAAGCAATATGATGATGAAATATAAAATTAACATGTGAAAAATGCTTATGGGTGAATGCTAATCCTCAGTATAATAAAATTAGGTTAAGATATTTTGGGATGCTAAATTCGCATATGTCTTTTCTCAAATAACTTAGTTTTCAGCTTTTTATCGCTTACACGGAAAGTAGATTTCGAAATTCTCTTTATTTCTAATATATCAAACTCATCCTCTGTATCATTTAGACGTAATTAAATTGATGAAAATATCTACACTAAAGCCATTCGATGTAATCTAAATGATACTAATATTCAAAATTGTAAATAAAAAAAATCTACTTATTTATACGACAGGTAATATGTAGAAGTAGTTTACTATCGCTTTGCACTCGTTCGTCTATAATGACTAAAATTCTATTTGACACTCTGAAATACAATTCTAGAAGATCATAATTTTCTATCCAACAATAAAACAAAATTTGAACTATTCAAAATGAAAAAAAAAGGTTTTTATACACCTTAGCTATAGAAGAAGCATCGAAACATGAAAATTATTAATGAATGATATGTACTTTAAATAGAAATATTTCTTTTTCTTTATCTGAATTTCAAGTTAAAGAAAAACTGAAATGCATTCGATTCGCTATTTAATTATATGAGAATAGAAAGAACTTGCAAACTACGATCTAACTTTATTAACTTTTGTTAATTCCATGTTCTTCAGGATAAATTAAGTAAACTTTCATAAAATTTTATCTGAATAATAATACAATCAACACTATTTATCATGCGTAGCAAACTGATCTATTGGAGAATCTTCAAGTTTTTCATTACTATAACTATTTTCTTATTGCTGTTGTTCCAGTGTATTCAGGTAATCATAATAGTAATAACCACGAACATAAAAATGATAAGATCCATTCATCACGCCTAATATCAACAGTAAATATTAGCCATGATTTTAATCGAAATACTTCGCGTCGCTTAAATTTTTTCATGTTGCTGCATATAAATATATTTCTTGATTCGCGAGTTCATGTTATTTTCGAACCATTACTCTTAACATAAATAACAAAAAAATAAAGATATTTATACTGAAAATATATAATGAAACATTAATTGCTGTTAGGCCGCTATGGCTGAATGGTTAAGATGTTCGGCACATATCCACAAGATAGTGTGTTCAAACCTCGGCGCCATCATCCATAGAATAACCTTGGACAAGTTACTAACGGCTGCTTTGTCTCGGATCACCCATCCGATAGCACGCTGATTACATGTGACATACATAAAAATATCCTCATGGATAGTATGTGGTTAGTCAGTATGCATGGGAAGCTTAAGTAATTAAGCGGAAGGAACTCTGAGTCAGGCCGGCCTTCTGTCCAGAGCTGCAGCTAGTAATAGTTGTAGGAAAAATATCGGGCTCTTGAAATTGTCTCCGGACAACACCCTATACTGAAAGGTAGCCGCAAGGCAAGGGTTTTCTTTCTTTCTTTCTTCTTTCTAATTGCTGTTTTTTAACAATAAGAAACAAGTAAATTTCCATAGTGAAGAAAGAAACCATTAGAAAATGTATTCATAATATTTGGGAGCTAATTATAAAAACATTACATCGGCGAATCAATGCTAGTTTAACGTCGAAAATATGAAAATAAATATGGCAATTATTTCTTTTCATACAATTCTATTTTTGGAATTTGATTATAAAAGGATGCATTTTTCTTATTCATTACAAATTAATCACTCGAAATTATTCTATACAATATGCACCTTTCTCGTCTAGATTAACAACCTGAAATGTTTTAGCGAAAGTCTATAATAGCATCAACTGTGATAGAGAAAAGCACTTTTAAGATATGAGAAAATATTGCAAAATATTTCAATCGTTTGAGACTAATTCCACTCAATCGGTTTAGTTATGATGTGTCATATTGTAAATATATCCGACCAAAATTAGCGGTAAACTGAAGGTTTTTATCACATGGGGTATCTATCTACTAATAAGAATTGGAAGTATGTGAGTATTTTGATGCGCGATATGTGATGTGGATTGTGATCTTCTCATCACAGTATGTATTGAAAGCGTCGACAATTGTGAGAGCTCGTTATAAAACAATATTGATTTTGTTTTCTATTTTTCATAAGAACTTCGTTGATTAGCTAATAATTTTCCTCAATAAGTAATTTTGTGAGCGAACATTCTAGAATGTAGCACAGATAGGAACTACAAAAGAACGAAGAACACAATCACAGCATTTTTGTATGGTCTTCTATATATTTCGCTTGCTTTTAGATATTGCAGTACACATTTTTGTAGTTTCATCACTTAATTATATCGACTGTATAATGCCCACTAATCCAAGTTCTACATTTGTTCTTGATTCCAACAAAGGCTATTGACAATTAATTCGGAATGTTCTTTTTTTACATATTCAATAAACAGACATCTTCGAAGATATATTGGATCTGTAAAACTAAGAGTTACAAAACCAAGGTTCATACTGATTCAAATAATCATATTTTTAACTTGAAAGGTGAACGCAATCATCTACTTGAACCGGAAGATCTTGAAGAGTATGGGAGTGGGTCTGGTTATTTTCAATTCTAACCGACACCCACCCACACACCTGCACCCACACCACCCCACACCCTCAAGAAATAGTGTTTGTACATAAAATTGAAGTTTATTGAGGATATTATTTCAAGCTTTAATGGAAAAAATTAGTTACAATTACGAAAAATCTTTCAGGTCGCGAATTTCTCTCTAATTCGTTGTCATGTGTCTGCGAGTATCAAGGCTGTGTAATGCATCAAGTGTAGTTTGAATTTCTTTTTTCGTTCGCTGGGTACATTGACAATTAGTAGACATGGCTATAGCTTCGTTCATATGAGCATCTGCTTCGTCGAAATGTTTCCACATATATTCGATCATGGCAAAATGTAGATGATTTTTTATAATTAAATCGATATCTGGAGATACCTCACGTTGTGCCATCTCGAGGCTTTGTGTACAACAATAATGTGCCATATCACAATCTCCTCTCAAGAGGTAGATCAAACCCATACGTTCATAAGCGACTCTTGTATCTTTAGAATGATCAAGTTCAATAACTTCTCCAAAAATCTTGAAAGCAGCATCCATATCTTTCAATTCTAAGAAAATTAATGCAATCCGCATTTTGTCTGCACTGACCTTCGGATCATGAGATGAATGGTGCTGACAACGAAGTTCTACTGCTCTTTTATAGTGTACCAACGCATTGCAATTATCTTTAAACTGCTGATATAGACTTGCAGAAATGTCATGTGCCGAAAGAAGCATGGGTGATTTTTCCGACACTTTTGGCAGATTAAAACTTTTTTCATAAGTTTCGAGAACTGCTCGCCAGTTCTCTTGCTTTATATAGATAAGAGCCAGTTGCATGCATACTGTCGCACGTAGATCATCGTCACATGAACGCAAGAGAGCCTCTTGTAAGCATTGAATAGCTGTGTCATTATCGTTTTCCTGCGCAGCTGTCCAAGCGATTCCGCGTAGTATATTATTGTGCCATGGATTCTTCTTAATAAAAGATTGATCGATCAATGACTGTATTGTTCAAAATTTGGTAATCCAAGTAGTTCATTTTCTCGACTCGGAGTACCAATCGCCCCCATGGGACATCCTTATGAATCATTAGAACGCATTCTATCATTGTCTAAAAATAGTCCTTGGTTTTGGCTCTCTTTAACCAAGTAAAGCATCACAAATCTTAGAAAAGTGGAGATATTTGAATGTGATGTCAAAACCATTTTCATACTGAAATCAACCATTTTCTCTGCTATCTGCAATCTATTTGGATAGAAATTATCATGAAAGCTCGTCAATGGTTTGACGGCTTTGAAAGATTCTTTCATTTTAGATAAATTTTCCCATAGTCTAATCCGCTCATTAGATTCAGTACTGTCTGATTCTGGTTTTTGGAGTTCTATGCTCGATTTGAGTATTGTATCCATACAATTAGCTATCGGATCTTGAAATCGATCCATCTGTTGAGTAATTTGTTGTGCTTTTTCGATTTCACCCATACTGAGAAGTGCTTGTCCAATCATTAGTCGCGACATGTTCTCATTGAATATTAATGATTCATTGCATTTTGGGAACCGAGTTTTTAATTCCCGATATATTCTATCTTCAAATGGACATGCGCGAAAACAGATTTTCCAAGCATTTCCTTCAGGTTCCACCGATTCAATACGCAATGTTGCGCCCATGGCTAGTAACACTTCTCTTTCTTCTTCGAAGATGCTCTCTGCAGTAATGTCTGCGAAGACTACCGATATGTCTCCAAACTCAGATTCATCAATAATGATTTCGAATATAACTGATTCCAATTTTGGCCGATCTTCACCATCGCCGGCCCATATTTCTGCTAGATTGCGGTATTTTGTTGTGGATAGAAAACTGTTTATTGCCATCAAGTGACCTACACCGTCTTTTATTTGCTTGAATTCATTTAAAGTCATACGTTGACCTCGATAGAGTCGATAAATATTGTGAGATATAGCTAAAAGCAAGAAATACATCATATCAATCTTTTCGGACGATATGCAATGCAGCACATGGTTAAGCCCACATACACTGATAGATAATGTGTTACTCTATTGGGCAGTACAGAAAGAAGGAAAAATGGATTCCCAATATTTCGACGTCACATTGGTATGTACTATGTCCAGTATGCAAGGCAAAAATATGATTGGGATGGGAATGGTACAATGAACAGGGGAGAAGAAAGACATGGAATACCAGTATCGAGCAAATTCAAAGTATGGTCCTTCGAGAAAGTAATAATGCTTTTAGAGAAAACAAAACTATAACAAAGTTTTACATAGATTTTATAGATCAGCTAACATTTTCAATGAATATTTTACATTATGGACATAGAGCGATGTTTCTTCTGCTTACCTTTAGCGTTCTTGGATTGTTCTGTATGCAATATCTCAAGCTGGCGATATATATCTTGAATGATAAATCTGAACTTCCAGATGGTGAGTATGTTTGCTCTACGGAATGCAGCATTAAGCTGTCGATAGAGAAATGAGTCTTTTGTATACCAAGAGATCGCTTTCATCGATTCATATGTCTTTACAAATTCGTCGATTTTTTCAAGTTCTTTTGCGTTGCCATCATAAGTAGCGCGACATTCTTTGAGCATGTCTTCATGAACGTTATTAGCTGGCTTCTGTGTGTGAAGCAGTACAAGTAGCATTGTGTGTGTGTAGCAGAATGCTACTCCGTCGTCACGAACATCTGTTGTTGTTAATCCATGTAGTCTAGATTCTATGCTCGGTGAAATGCTAAAATTTAGATCGTTCTTCTCCAGCAGTTCTCGGGGGCTAGAAATAATGCATCGTACACGAGATGCATCGTTATAATGTTGTGCTTCAGTCAAATAAATGTAGAAAATACAAGGTAAAGTAGAAAAAATATCCACTAGATGACATTGACCCTTGCCAAGAATCAGAAGACCCTTTTCTTGATGAATTGATAATATATATTCGACGCATTCGTCTGGATCAAAGAAAAATGCAATATTGTTATCACATCCATCTAGAGCATTTATATGTTGATGAAAAGAATCTTGTTCCTCCTTGGTTGATATCAACGCGCAAACATCTACTTCCGAATGGCTCATTGAATTGTGTTTGTAAACGAACTTGCACTAGTGTTGTAGTTGAGAGACTGAAATTAAATGCCATTTATTTTGTTGAAATAAATAGTGCAGCTGCCAACCTGAAACTTATTCTTATTGAAAGGAAAGAAATAAAATCATGATGCAGGTAGACGAAAGATGTCAGCGTAGATCGCTTATGAATACGCATTGCATATAAAAAATACTTGTATAGTTGCAGACTATGGATCGAAAAAAAATTCTTTCACATAAATAAAAATCTGCCGAACATCATGCCGATTTCATTGAACAATTTATATATCCTACCCGAAATCAAATTGGTATTGAATAGAACTTTAAAAAACACCTATCTCTTCGTTTTTTGTAATATCTTCAACAACTTTTGTATTTGGATTCTGGTCCACTGCATACACTGTAAAAAACATGGCAGAATAATGAACGCTTGCCCTTGATTTTTTTTTCTATAAACCCTTGAAGGGTTTAAGTACATGTCATATGCCCTATGAAGGGTATACGAGCCGAAGGGTTTGTTATCGTAAGAGCATATGAATTTAAAAGGGTATATGAAACTGCTTTAAGGGTTTTGTATTTCATAATTTTATTCAAAGTGTTTATTAAAAAACGGATAGGTGTAGATTAATATACGTATTTCCAAAATCAGTTTATTATCCAACAATCAGGGGTAGATTATTATACGATTCATGCAAAACAAATCTTATTCTACGGCTAGGGGTAGATTATTCTGCACTTTCAGAAAAAGCGTTTACTATAATACTGTTGATGGCAGACCAGTAGAGCGACGTCATCAAAAGGGCTGATTATTCTACGATCAAGGGTTGATTATTCTACATTCTCGGCAGAAGCGTTTATTATAATACTGATGATGGTAGATTATTGTACGATATCATAAAAATGATTTATTATTCTACGGTTTTTTTTACAGTGTACGCAGCTACACATTGCCAAAGGAAATTCGTGCTTGTTAGAATTGTAGTGGTCCCCTACAATTCTAAACGGAGATTAAGTTGTCTTTTCTAGTATAACGGTAGTACATCTGCCCGGATAGCAGAGGATGTGTGGTTCGAATCCCACGAAAGGATTATCTTTTTCTCCGTTCTGTGGTCATATCATCTCGCTGTTAGTCCAGCACCTAACAGTGTTTAATAAAGGATCCATCACCGCCATTAATCGTGATGGTGACATACTGCATATAAAAAAAACAAAAGAATTACATGATTGAACAACAAATATTTATTAGTTGAATCTTTTTGAAAGTATCTTTCTTCGTTATCTTTGGATTCAACGTCAAAGCTCCGCAAGAAATAACTCATAAATTTGAACTCAACATTGTTGATATTTAGGCTTTGGTTGTATATCAATAGTAATATTTGTTAGAATCTGTGAGTAAAAAAATGGATGCCATAAGCATTTTCAATTTTAGGACTATTTAAAACATTAATTATCACGATGATCTAATTCAGAAAAAAAAGTGAACACTTACCTATAACGGAGAAAAATGGTGTATAAAAGTAAACAATTGCATCTGGTTTTCTTAATCCAGCTTCAATCGCTTTTACGGTCACTACAGTTATTAGATTTCCACCAGCACTATCACCAGCAAACAGAATCGTTTTGCCTGTCCAGCCAAGTTTACTAGCATTTTGTAAAATCCATGCATATGCATAAAAACATTCTTCGATAGCACGAGGAAATGGATATTCAGGCGCAAGAGAATAATCAACAGATACAATAGGTATTTACAAATCCAATGCCCATGGTTTTAAATATACCTGAAAACGAAAAAAAAATTATTTCGTGTTGAGCAAGCGAAAAGTTCTATACCTCATGAGTTGCTGATGACGTCGCAATAAAACCTCCACCGTGAACACGCATCAGAAGTTGATCACTCATTGCTAATAAGATTTTTGATGATCCTTCTAAATCAGCTCTTTGTAATGATAGCTTATCCATGCCTTCTCGTATTTCATGTGACAAAAGTTTAATATTCACCAGTTGTTTTGACTGCATAGTACTCAGACCTGTTGGTGGAGGAACAATAATTGAATTAATTTCAATAGGTTCAGGTTCAACTTGAAAATATTTCGATACAGCTACATTAGGAGCAATATAACGTGATCCTTTTTTAATGGAATCACGTTGAAGAAGATTCCAAAACGACTGGCAAAATAAATAATCACGATCACGCAATATTTCAGCACACTACAAAAATTATGAAACGAATATCAAATGAATCGAAGATTTCAAAAATCAACATAAATACACAACCTTTCTAGCTCGCTGTTCAGGAAATAAAAAATATTTCCACGATGTTGCCAAACTAGCTGCCGCTGCGGTTTTTGATCGATTATAGGTTTGATAATAAGGCGCGAAACTCGCCAATATGATAGTAAGCAGTATTTTCATAGAGCGATTGAACTGTAAAATAAATGTGGAAACTTCGGATTTCATCCGAGAGTTATGTGTACTGCAAAAACTGCATGGGACATATGAGTCATTCTAGAATGTCTGAACACGAAAATTATCATGAGACACTAGGCAATTTGACTTCTCGATGCAGTTTTTGTGCATTTTGAGACGTTTTTCATGCGATGTTTCGTTAGAAAGCTACGATTTAGTTCAAAACTAATATCAGATTTAGAATCAGCGTTAAAAACTGAGTCGATTTATATATGTTGTGGACAGTTCTGAGAAAAAAAGTTTTTTTTTTGAAAAATCCCTGTACTTCCCCCCCTCAGGGATGGTCTGATCAAAAATGACGATTTTTTCGATAACTCAACCATTTCTTGACGGATCCTTCTCATCTTCGAACTCGACCTAGATATTGATGAGATAATTCTGTGCACAAAATTTCAGTTCAATCGAATGTAATTGTGAAGAGTTATCGAATAAACGGACGGACGGCCGGACACACTGACCGATTCTATAGTGTACTCTTTTTTTTTTGAGTACACAAAAAACAAGAGCAAACTTCTTACTGAAATTGATTTGTATAATAGTTCAAACTTACTTGAAACCCACATGTTCTACCGAATAAATTTTTGGAATCACACACAACCATTTTATAATAATCTAGTTAAATATCCAATGGTATTTGACTAACATCAGTCTAAAACAAAAGTAAAACAATTTCAAAGTTTATCACTTTCCGTCAAATGCGTATTTCTATTTACAAATAATGAGTGTTTATCCGAACAGTCGACTAGTCCAACAGCCAATGACAGCCTGTGCTCCATGGCTTTAAGAGTTTTCGTCCAGGATTTAAGTTCTTGCAATAATTCCAACGAATGTATGCGACGATGCAAATGAGCAATATGTTTTGCATTCATCTGTTTAAGTATCTCTAAAGTTCGTAAGCATGCATGACCATGTGATAAAATTAATGTTCGATATCCATTAGCATGAACCTAATGCAGAACAAAAACAAATAATATATTCGAATTTCTTAGTTGGTGTTACTTCAGAGCAATAATCAAGATGATGTAAGGTTTGTGTAAGATTTTCAATGAGAGGTAGAGATCGTTTTAATGAATTAAACAGTTGAATTAAGACATGTTCAAATTTTCGACAAATATCATTTTTATGTTGCGCAAAAATATCATAATTTGTTTTAGCTAATCCAATTACTTGTATGTATGTTAGATTAAAAGTTGAACATGAAGCGATTGTTTTTAGTTGTAATATTATCGGAGTTGTTGTCTCTGTTGGTAGTGTTAGATTATTTGAACTGGATGAAACCATTAGTGAATTATGTATTGTCGGAAGTGAACAGTTTTAAGTTTGACTTGCCAATAAAGTCAACGTTGTAGGCGACGAAGATTTTGAACGATTTCCTCTTATTGCCATATTTTTTCTCAATGGTTGAAGAAATGAAGATGGTTTTAAAAAAGTTTCGTTATGAATATTACTGATTTCTGTATCAGCAGCTATTTGTGATGATTTGCAATTGAATACGTAGTGCTGTACGTGTGCTTTTTTTTATATGAAAGGAGCATACACTTGATGTATTTCGCTAGCCTTTTTTTTAATTATAGTCAAGAGAGAGAGAGAGAGAGAGAAACAAGTTATTCAAGCGTAAACAACAAAATATGGCGTGGTGATATACTAAAACGTGGCGAGAAAGTATGGTGTGATAGCAATCAAGCTCCAATGAAAAGTGTTACACTATTAGATTAGTAGGTGCACTAATAAAAATGTAGTTCGTTGTTTGACTATGTATTTCACACTACCTATAGAGCATCGAAATGGCGTGGGTGTGGGTCTGGAGCGGTTGATAGTAGAAAACAGATACTAACACGCGTACCCATAACCAGCAAAAAAATCATAGTTTCAAACAATATACTTCATACTGATAGTCATTGTTTGATTAGGATCAGCATGAGAGAAGACCAAATCGCCGGAAGGATCACGATATTCATTAAGTTGTACTACCAAATTTTCATCATATTCGAAGACATATTTAGCCAATTGCTGTGTTACACTACCAGTATTAGCCGTCACAATAGCTTGAAAGCCACGAGCCTTTGCAACTTGTAACGTATGACGTTCAATCTGATACATAGCATTGGTTCGTTTCTCGGGTGGCACATCTAGATTGACTGCTGTGACAAAATTACTCATGATTGATTCAGGAACATCCTTTTGAGAGTGCAAACGCTTTAAAAACTCTTTCTCTTTAACCTCTAGCATGGTTAATATTGGAGCAACTAGTGGTACGGTTGTCGGATCTATATATGGCTCATGTGCTGCATCAGTCGACAGAGACACGCCAAGTAGGTTTCCATTGTTGTTGATAATACCAAACGAGAGCTCCAATGTCACAAACTGAGGCCAGTGGTGATTTAATATAACAGTGAATTGTCGCCTATATTCAAGTTGAGCATTCGGCTGATTTTGATGAATAAGAGTATCGATTTCTCCTAAAGTAGCAAATGAATCGACGACAATAGCAATGCCTTGATCTTTGCCGATTTGTGCCAGAGGCACTACTTGATATTTATTATCATATTCAAAAAACAATTCCTTATTGGATCGATCAATATCCACTTCATTTAAAAGAATATCATTTAATGTTGATGCATCGAATAGACGTTCAACAGTTAGGCACGATAAACCAAAACGATGTAACTTAGCAACCAGTAACAGCGCACTCCGTGATGAACCACCGGCAGCGAAAAATGATCGATTCATGTAAGCTCGTAGAATACCAATCTCTTCGAGTGCCAAACAAAATGCTTCATGCACATTCAATGATTTTTGCTCAATTACCTCTTTTATTTCATGATCAACATTTAAAGAGTCCACTAGTTGGCGTCGGTTAATTTTTCCAGAAACAAGAAGAGGAAAATCAGCAACTGCTTCAATTCGTGAAGGTACAGCATAGGAAGGCAGATATTTTGCTAATTGAGAACGATCGAGATCAAGTGTTTCCCCAGTCATTTGTAAGAATAAAACTATTTGATGATTGATCTTATCATAGACTGCAACAGACTGATTTAAATGAAAATATTGTTTTACAATGAGTTCAATCTCACTGAGATCAATTCGATTTCCACCAATTTTTACCTAATAATGGAATACTGAACATTTTTATGTGTCAAAATAATGAAACAACTTTCTCTTACTTGTGTATCATTTCTTCCGTATAAAATAATCCGATTATTCCATATCTTACCTAAATCACCTGTACGAAACTGTTGCTGACCATTATTGTCATGAACGAATTTATTGAATAGCACAACATTGTTAGCGTTAACATTATGATATCCGCTGGCTACATTGTTTCCTGCTATAACTAATTCACCAACCCCTCGCTCGTCTGGATCGACAATGTATACAATTGTATTTTCGATCGGATATCCGATACTGACACGATTTTCGAACAATAATTCATTGTGAAAGTGATCGACTGATTCAAACACTTCATACGTTGCGTCGCCCATTACTTCACATGAACCGTACATATTGAGTAGACGACATTTCGATGAAAACCTTTCTTTAAGCTTGAAAAATGATTCAACCAATCCAGCTACAAGTGTTTCGCCACTCGAAATGATCATTCTGAAATCTGGTAAACTTATTTTGTTATTCTCTAAATGATCGAAAAGAACGGTTAGCAAAGAAGGAACAAGGATAATTCGTGTGATTCGTTTCGATGCCATTGTCGAAATGAGTTGGCCAATTTGGAGTAGTAATGATTTAGGAAGAACAATTAATGGCACACGGCAAAGGAGTGGTCCAAATAGTTCGGTAATGGAATCCACGAATGATATTGACGTTTTCAAGCAACATACATCGTCTGTATCATACGGAAATTGTGACCATTGCCAAAATAGTCGATTGAGCAAAGCACGATGAGGAAGACGTACACCTTTTGGCATTCCGGTCGATCCGGATGTATACGTAATACAAAATATATCTTCTTGTTCAACTTTAACTGATTGATTATCTATATATGTGGTATTATCAGATGAATGAGAATAAATCAAGATTTTGATGGGATTTAATTGTTGCTCGAGATCAAGTTCAGTATCGCTAATGACTATTGATGCTTGACAATCTGCGAGAATGTATTTGATTCTTTCAGGCGGCAATGTAGGTTCGATTGGTACGTATGGAATGCCACGCAAAATTGCACCACATACAACAATGATCCATTCAAGTGACGGCCTCATGCAAATTGCCACAATGTTGTAGGAACCAAGCGATGCTGCTACTTGATGGGCAGCACGTGCCAGTTCCTTGAAAGTGAGCTCTTTTGTATTCATGGATGCGCATACCTGCTCATCATTTGTTTTGCTATTAAGTATTAACAAGAGTAAATCACGTAGTGTGGTATTGTTATCAACGGGTAATTCTTTCTGAATGCCTTTAAGGACCAACATGGTATTTGACATTGTTTAATAAATGCTAAAACAAAAGTAACTGGTTTCTTTTTGCATATATAGCTAAAAAAGTATACTGTCTGGATTTCGATGCATATTATAAGAAACTTAATACAAACAAATAATGACACCAGTCTGTTGTGGAATTTTTTCGAACCTGCTCATTAATCATTTATAGAGTAGACAAATTAATTATTTAGGCACTAACGATATATTGCATCTTGTTGTCACAGGCAAAATTAAACTTTAGACAAAATTTTAGAGAATTGTTTAATTGATTTATGGGTGTGGGTGGGTGTTAGGAGTATGACGTTTCAGTTTTAGTTCCGTTCAAAAGAACTGTTCAGACAGTTCACAGGATCTGATCTGATCTGAACTGCCCAGGTCGTTCATTCCTACAATCGGATCCAATCGGATCTGAAAATGGGTTGCATCGGATCTTACATGAAAACCAACAAGAACCAACAGATTCCGTTGGATTCCGGGTTTCGGGCCGAGATTCGGATCCACAGGATCGGAATCCGATACATATCCGATTGTATCCTACTCTGGGATCCGATGCGCCAAAAAGTCTGCTATACTTGAGGGTGGGTGTGGGTGTCGTTGCGGGTGTTGATCTTCCCACACCCAGCTTCCAAACGAAATTGAAAATGCCAAGGACCCAAGCAGACAAAAAAATAAAAAAACGCGTTTAAACGCGGTAAATTTTTCGACCGTGTTTGGCTGACACTTGGGGTTCCCGACTATCAGCAATAAATGACCAGTAGAACTAAACANGCATAATTTCATTGCTTTTAATCCATTTAAATGTGTAATTATTATAACTGGTTTCATTTTAAGAAATATCAATGATTTTGATCTAGGTCCATCCAAATGAAAATACCAATGACTTCGATCAAGGTCCATCCAAATGAAAATGCCAAGGACTTCGATCAAGGTCCATCCAAATGAACGACATATAGATCCACCCCAGTAATGTTTTTGGGTAAAGTTCTTCTTCTGTGAACTGGTATCTAGAGTGTGTAATTTTTGGCATCTACCTCATTTTATAAATTTGTGCTTTATCCCATTTGATAAATTTGTGTTCTATCCCAATTTAAAAATTTGTGTTCTAATTTGTAATTTTACCTATTTCTTAGTTCTTATTTGTAATGCAGAGCTCTGAAGAGTGTTTCATTATTTCAATAAATAAATAACACGAAACGCGTCGGCGAAATTAAACTCTGCATTTTATTCAATTCAAGCACAGATTTAAATATATAATATTATATAATATCATTTTTCGACTTTGATCGATTACTGAAAAGTAAGAGTTGAGACTTGTAGATTGAATTGTCTTTTCGTTAAGAGATATGCTAATCTGCTTTGAATTGATTTCTAGAATTCAGCTATCTTCAACTTGATAAGCGTAACATTGTTGAAAATGAAATATACTTATGTAGTACTGTGTGAGCACTATGAAATGAATTAGTTTATTAATGGTACATAAAGCTTCAATGCTACTGGATAAGACATACCAGTTGGACCGCCTGCAATTGCAATCCCTATTGTACTCATGATAATTATAGCCATAATTTTGTTCGAGTAAACCATTCTCGGTCAAAGTTATATTCCAAACAAGAAAGGATTAACACCGTGAAATAAAAGTTTGTGTGTATGTTTTAGCAGTGATATACGTACATTTTATATACTTTATCATAAAGAGAGAAAACGAGAGAAACAATCATAGATACTTTTTTTCCTCCGCACAAATTATTCAAGTGTGTCCACACGAAATATTGTATCAATGAAAAAATCGTTAACATTTAGATGACTTCTTAAAACTTATGCTCAACCGTATGAAACAGCATTTTTTTCTCGAAGCCACGACACGATCAAAGCTGACTGGTTTCTTTTCTAGTACCACAACTGTTAAACATCAGTGCAAAACGATTATAAATTTATACGATTAATGCGCCTTTGCAAAAGAAATTTTATCCGTTGAAATTATATGACTATTACCTTTTCTTTTATCTTCCTTACAATCACCCTGTCATCCGATCATAACAAGCCAGTAACGCAAAAAAAATCTTAAGGTAATAAGGGCAGGTGGGTGGTGTGTAAGAAACTATCACAAGCCGTTTCGACTCTGCTTAGGAGTCTCATCAGGTAGCTTAGTATCTCTAGCTCGATTCAGAAAATTTTGAACAAAAATTCAAAATCAATTCGAGAATATTATTCTGTTCTAATTCACGAAGAAGTAGAATTTAGTTTCATCAGATGGTTTAACCACTGCATAAAATATTGAGTTGAAAGAAAAATTTCAAAGGAAAATTCCTGTCGCTTTTAATATCAAAGCAAAGAAGAGAATTCTTAACAATTAGTACAAGATTGGATGCAAAGATGAGTAGGAAATACTCAGAATAATTAAATGATTACTCGAAAGTAGAATTTTTAGCCAAAATATATAACGGAGCGTGAGAAAAATAAACAAAAGTAAATTTCTATAAAGATATTTCAATTTTAACGAAAAATTGAAGAACAGTTAAATGAAATGTTTAGATGTTATGTCTATATCCTGCACATTCTTTTCTGAATGATATTTTAAACATTTTCTATCATTTGTCAAATCTAATTAGTATACGGTTTTGATACTACAATGTTTGAACGATTTTATCTGATCTTACACTAACTGACGTCTGACTTTTTGACCTGGGCAGCATATCTCATGTCGTCTCTTTTTTATCAACTGTGCCGCAGTTACGCGTAACTATGGCGCATTGATCGTAGTGAAGATTTTTATAAGAAACTACGCTTACTGTGATGCAGATCAACGTAACAGCGTCCTAGTAATCGCATCCTACAATCCCTTGTAGGTATAAATGGCCAATTATAAATTATTCCTCCTTACTTGTAATTGGCTACACTCTAACAATAAAACATAGTCACAGAAAATCAGTATAAATAACAGCGCTCGTCACATTTTCTTTCGTAAGTCATTCTACTGTAAGCAGTAGAATACATATTTTTTAGTTTTTCTAAATTTTTCTACATTTAAATCTTTTTAGTTTTTCAATTTTTTGTAATTCAGTTTTTTTCTTCTATTTATTAAATTTTTAAAAATTGTTTTTAATGTTAATATTTTTATTTTCCTAGATATTTATTTTTTATTTTCCTTAATTTTAAAATTAATTTTTTTTTAACTTTTAACTTAGTAAATTTTTAAATTTTTTTGGGTTTTAATTTTTCAATTACTTTTTATTGTGAAAATTTTTAATTTAAAATTTTTTAAAATTTTTTATAAAAATTTTAATTTTATAGTCTTGTGTTTTATTTTGTGCAAAAATATTTTAAATACACAATAAAAGTACAAATAAAATGAAAACCTAATCTATGTCATCTTTTGTACCAATTGGGACGACACTGCGTCCCATAATTGCGAAAAACTTGAACGCAGTTATGCGTAATTGCGATTTTTTCATCATAGTTACGCGTAGTTACGTCGCGATTTTCCGCAATTACGGGTCACAGTGCAATCGCAGTTACACCGTAACTGCGCCAGTTTCACGGCAATGAAACACATGGGATGGCGTGCACAAGTGCAAGTGAAAAAAGTTCTACACATTAGCAGATGTCACGTGGTGATGACAAACAGGACAGGTTTGTATCATTGATAGCCAATGATCGACACAATTAGTGTGCAAGAGTGACCATACGGCAGCTTTTTTATATTGTCATTGATCATAAAATTCATTTGATAGATGACACTAAAAGAACATACAACAAAGTGAAAAAAAGAGATTGTGATTGAAGGCTCTTCTATTTTTGTTACTAACTATTCAGTTTGATTGAACCCATGCCATCAAAAGTTTGACCAAAAACCGCAATTGGTAAGTTATTGATAGTACCTGATGATGCTGGAGGATTTTCGTAGGTATTGAAAATCCTATTTAGTATACTATTCTAAACAAAGATAACGCTGGTGGAATTTCGAATATTTTAAATAAGACGTACCCAAATTATTGTAACAATCGGAATAACGAACGTTCTCGCTACCCATTCTACAAAATAATTTAACAGCACACCGGTAAGACGAAGAAAAATAAATTTGAGAAGCCGTAAAAGGAGTGGAGTAAAAACACGAATTAGTTGCCATATCCAAAGACTCTAGTAGAGATTACCAGTCGAAATGGAGCACGAGCCACCAGAACGCGGTTGGAAAAGAAGAACGGCTCCTATTGAATAATGATAGACGATAATGACATTTGTAAAATAAGATATCGTATAATGAATAGCTGATAAATAATTAAAAATTAGTCCAAAATTTGACGCACGATAAATAGCTGATTGATAATGACAGGAAGAATAGTGATAACGATGTTACACTCAGCTAAAACAAGCCCAGTGTAGGCATATGATTTAAGTGGTGCACGAAAGTATAGATCTTCAATGCGGGTATATACGCATTTTGTACTTTTAGCTTTAATCATGGCGAATGCCACAACCCCGAAATAAACACCATTGTAAATAATCGATACGATAAGAATAAGATTCTCTTCTATTAATGATCGTTGTGTTGGAAGTGAAGGTTTTGGTGAACAAGTAAAAATTGAAATCCATGCTTTGAAACACACAATCCCGAGATAGAAGCGAATCAGTTCACAATCGTTATTTTTAGGGTTTTCTGATCTAAATACAAAGGCAATACTAACGCACACCGATAGAAATTTGGCGAAATGAAAAACACTGCATCGATCAGGGTGTGGGTGTGGGTGTAGGTGTTAGTGTGGATGTGGATGTGGTTGTTAATGTGGGTGCGAGTATAGTTGTTGGGGTGATCATGGCTGAGCTCGTTTTTCACTATTCTACATTTGCGCATGACGAGTGAGAAATAGTGCATGATAAGTCAATTCCGGAATCGCACTGAATTCGTGGGTAGTGATTACGGGAATTGCGGCATTGTATTCGGGGTGATAAACGGAAGTTCGGGAATTAGATGGAATTGATTTCTAGCACGGAACTGGCTCCGTAATGTTTAATATTGCGGAATAGGATATATTCTCGGTGAAACCGGATCGACTCGAGACCGGGCAGATCCAAAGATCTGACCTGTTTGAGTTTTCAGAATCGGAACTATTCAATAGACGAAAATAAAAAAAATATCATAATCTTTGATAAAAATATAAAAAGTGTACTGGCTAGTGGATTCAAAAAAACGTTTTCAGAATGTGTCGCATGTATCGTACAAAATGTATTGTGCCATCGCTGGAGATAATATGTCGCAACGAGCATCTCGTGTCACGCTCGAATGTGTCGTACATTGTGTCGCAAACCACGACGCATGCGACACATTTAAACTTACTGTCAACGACATCTTAATCTGCTTGGTTCATTCTAGAAAATGAACCCATGATCACAATATGTTCGATTCATCATGTCGTCCAACAACAATCTTCAATATAGAGTGGCAAGCACCCAACCCGGTTCATAAAAAGCTGTTTTATAATACGTCAACTATAGACGGAGTTGACGTTTGAAAAGTCCTTCGTGGCGATTTTATGAAAAACCCCTTGTGATGTTTTTCTATGTAAACAACTATGATCGTTTTTTTTTTATAACAAATTATTTATTTTTCGTGAACGATTGTCATTTTTTTTTGTTTTAAAAATCGTTTTTTTCTCTCCATCATTATCAATGATTGATGATCAATCATAGTGTTGTTTTTTGTTATAAAAAACTACTTATATTGAACGATCGTCAATTTTTTCATGTTAAAAATTGTCTTAATTCTCCATTATGACAAATCAGTGCTTTTTCTGTTATAAAAAGTCTTTCATCATATGATCGATTATCAATTGTTTTTGTTACAAAAATTGTGATGGATTCTCTTTTTCTGCTTCATTAAAATAAATTGTTGATGAAATATTTTTTTATTTTTAATGATTCTTTCTGGTTTCAAATATTTTCGGGATGGTTGATGCTATTATTCCTGCTTAGAAACTGTTTAATTCTTATTAAACAGGATCAAACTAATTTCTTATAAGAATTCCTTGAATGGACTTTATAATTGTGAAAATTGACTTAATGATATGTTATTAAAAATCATGTACACACGAGAACGACATCTTTCAATGCATTATAATTTCTATTATGCAGTTTGGGTACATGAGAAAGAAAGAAAGGCGTATCCTCAACCCTCATTGGCTACTTAACTGTTCACAGTGAACGCCAGTGTTTCTAATGGTAAGTGTACACAATGGAAGCAAAATGTACAAATATTTGCAGGCGTCAAAATACACGCTGCTGTACACTTTGTATAAAAAACAGCATGTACATTGTACATTTTGCTGGAGAACATATTTGAAGTACTAAAAATTGGGTTCAAAGAATGAATTGATGATGACCGCTATTGACTTATTTAATCATTCGTTGAATACGATCAATTTTGCTTTTCTAGGTTTATTATCTATTTATTTTCTAGATGAACTTATTTCTCTATTTCTCATCCGATTGTTATTAATTAATTTACGTTTTTAATTGTAATTTATCTGCATTATTAATGAACCATTTACAATTGAAATTAGATGTGATTTGGAAGAGTAAAAAGGTGACAAATAATTGTGTTGCATGCTCGAGAGAAAATGAAGATAACATATTACAATTGATTTCATCTTCATCATTAATAACTACTGAAACACAAGCAACAACATGTGAAAATGAACTTATAGTTGGAAATGAGATTGTAGTTGAGAATGAAAATGAAATTGGAAGTTTTTAACGAAGAATCAAGTAATGAATCATCAAGTTCTAATCACGATTAAGATACACGTTCGTCAATTATTGTTAAAAAGTGTTTGAGTAAGCAAACAATAAATGTTCGATCTGACCATCATAAGAAATATAAATCTTCTTGGGAATCATTAATTAATTCTCAATACAAAGCACATATATATTTATGTGATCGATTAGATGAGTGACACAAGTTTGTATGTTGGTTATATTATATGAACAATTCGATTGATTTGTTAACTAAGATGTGAACATTCGTTTTCAGTTTTTTATTGTTTGAAAATTCGACATAGTACATTTTGTTTATAAAAAGAACATTTTATGTACACTTTAATAATTGAAAACAGAGTGTACAATACATTTTGTTTTAGATTTTCATTAGAAACACTGATGAACGCGTACAAATTTTAAACCGTATTAACTTAATCCACGTTGCAGTGTGTTTGACCCCTTTGTCAATCAAATAAGTATCCACCACACTACTACTTGATCAATGTCAGTGTCATAATCATTTGTTTATGGAAGACATGCAACGAATAAATTGGCAAAGAAATGATGGCATGGTTCTGAATTCAAATAATGTTAAAAGACAAAAATTACAATATGAAAGTAATACATTTTCATACGTATATTTAATTAATTCCTTTATCTTCTTTGTTTTTTTCTTTAAAGTAATAACAATAGATCGAAAAAAGTGAAAATATTTTATACAATGTAATATTTTTATTATTCCATTTTACTTAGGTCTTTCCTTGAAGATTTAGCTAATGAAATTTTTTATGATATATTTGAATATCTTGATATGTACCATATTTATAAAGGATTTTTCAATCTTAATAGAAGATTTGAAAATTTGATTATTAATTCAAATTTTTTACATCAAACAAATATTTCAATGATTCCAAAAAATGATCTGGAAGATTTTCATATTAATGTTATTATACCAAATAGACATAGAATTAATTCACTTCGTTTGTCAAATCCGTTTGTTACTCCAATTATTTTCTCATCACCACGCATACTTTTACAATTTATTCATCTAAAACAACTTGTTCTTGACAATATACAAATGAAATACTTACGCAAAATTTTCGATTGTTTAATGCATTCGCCATTACCAAAATTGTATTCATTAAGCATTTCTATTATTGATTGTATTGAATCTTTAGATATTCTTTTTGTTGATTTATTTAATTTATCAACATTAAAATATTGTAAATTAAAATATGAAACTAAAACATATGAAATTTCATCATTTCTTAATGTTATTAAATCTAATTCTAGTCCAATTGAATATTTGATTATAAATGGTCGTTTTCCATTCATAGCATTGAATAATTTATTATGTTGTCTTCCTCAGCTTCATTATTTATCTATTAACTGTCTTGCCGACTCTGTTGGTTATATAGGAAGGAATAAATTATCTCCTATTCAATTAAACTACTTAAAATATGTTTCTCTTAAACTGGATTGTATTCGTTTTTATCAAGTTGAAGAAATTTTCAAGAATTTTTTTCATTATATTCACACTTTACGGCTTACAACACATAATGATGAAAACTATTTGAACGCTAAACAATGGGAAGAATTAATCATATCTTATATGCCATGTTTACGCATTTTTGATATAAATCATACAAATTCAGTGAATTATGATACTTCAAGATATCGTAAATTGATCAATGGATTTAATTCCTCGTTTTGGATTGAAAAAAAATGGTTGTTTACATATCAACATGATTGGTCAAAAGCTTATGGGAATCTACTTTTTTATTCAACAGATCCATATCGGTAAAAGAAAGGAGATTAATTAATATCCCATAATAAGTCTTTTTAAATACTGAATATTAGTTAGTTTAACTTCAATTGATTCTCTACAAAATTATTGACACGAGTTTTCAAGCAACTATTTCGAAGGTGCATAAAGTTCAGATCTATTTAATTGTCAAAAGAAAAGAGAATGATTGGAATTTTTCAGCTAATATTTCATGAATAAACTTCTTTTTAAATACAAGTCAAACTAACGGTTGGCCCAGAATTAATGACATAGTTTCTATTTTTCGAATAGCACGCTTCGCTTCGATCATATGGAGTTAAGATTAGACTTGAAAGATACCGTATTGAATTCTCTGCAAGACCTGCATCAGACGTTTTTCTATACAAAGCAAAATAGAAATTTGAAAATAAGAATACTGTAGACGGTCAAAATGGTCGACCTTCTACACTGAAAAGTCGTGTATCTTAGATGTATTCACTGGCTAGTGACGAAAAAAATCAAATAATAGAAACGTTTGGTAGTCTTTGAAAATTCTCATGTTGATCCGTGTGACGTTGACCAATAATTTTCTCTTTCAGATATTAACGATATTGAGAAAAAAGGCATAACGAAGCCAAAATAGTATCTTCTGGGTTTCTTTATTTGCATCAAAAATGACTACTGTGTCAAGGTTAGAGGCAAAAATCGCGCTGATATTTTCTTCTTTAATTCCGTTGAAGAAAAATTTCAGCTTTGCACCATTCGCAATTCGATTTTGAAAATTCAAAACTCTCGATCTTCAATTTGATTACAATACACGTTTAACTATATGACAAGAAAGAGCACAACTCTACCAAGCAATGTAAAAAAATTTTCCCCGAAAAGTGACTATTAAGTACTTTCAATAGTAGGTTTTAAGCAGGAAAAATGACTTATAAGTGAACCTTTTTAAGTACTTTTGAAAGTGAGAAAAATTTGAGCAAGTATTACAAAAGGTGAAAAATAGTAAGAGTAGTTACATTACATTACTTTATTACTATTAAAAGTGGTTCAAATTGACTTTTGATTCACTTTTTTACATGGAAAGTACTGGAAAAAAATTTCCAATAAATTGTCCTTTTGTTTTGTAAGCTCTAAAAAAGATTCGAATTATTATCTTAAAAAATGACTTTGATAGTTGGTCCTTTTCGACCGTCTCGAATACTCTGGTTTTCACATTTCTATTTGTCATTGTACAGAAAAATGCCTGATACGTGTCATGCAAAGGATTCAATGGATTATCTTTCAAGTCTAAAGTTAACTATATATGATCAAAGCGAAAAGAGATATTTACGAAAGACAAACTATGTCATTAATTTTGGACCATCTGTTAATTGAGTGTTTCACCAATAAAAATCAGACAATGACATCGATAAAATTCCTTTCAATCTCTCCTATTATGTAGAAATCGAACTTCTAGGTCAGAATCTGTTGTAGCTCATTAATCTTTTTTCTTTTAACGGAGAAGTATCAGATAACGTTTAGTGGTACCTTAGAGATCAAAAACGAATCTAGTTAAACTGAAATTCGGCTCTATTCGATGTTTTCTAAATAATTCACTAGGAATATTTCCTAGAAAAAGTAAACAGCTTCGTGAAGCATTCAAAGCCCTATTGGATAACATTAAAACGATCTGTTTTTAAATATTTGAAAGACTTAGTGAAAAGTTAATACTTATTTTCGGATACACGTTGATTTTTCTTTTATTATTGTTTTAGTCGAAAGGATTATAAATTTCTTTGGGACGGAGATGCAAAAGAGTGTTCACATATTCAAGAGTCGAATTTAAATTCAATTCAACATATTTTGATTTATAGTTATGAAATAAAAAATAATGATCTAATTTATCTTCCAAATATTACTCAAATAACAATTAAACATTATCCTCGACAACCAAACGGTTCAATTACAACAAGTCTTGATTCTATGATTCAATTGAAACAAGTGAAGAAATTAATTATTCAATGTCATGATTTTCCTTTTGAAGAACTGATTAAACTATTAAGTTTTACACTGAATTTACATACATTAAAATTGAAATTGATATCTTTGAACGAAAATAATATTAGGCTAATTCAACAAAGTGAAAATTTTCAATATGTATCAAAAACAAATCAAGTAAAACATTTAGATCTTTTTCAACTGTGCGAATTCAATCAAATTGAATTGATTATTAACTTATTTCCATAATTAGAATATTTAAAAACTGGAATCAATTATAAAGAACTTCAACAAATAACAAGATACTTATTATCAAAAACTAGCAATAAAGCACAACATTTATTCTTCCTATGCATTTCAGGTATACCAAAAGTATTTTTAAAGAAATTGAATGTATTAATTAAATCAGAAAATTTACTTCATGATTACTGTATTAGATTTATTAATCGTGATTTATTTTTATGGTGGTAAAAATTTAGTATCACAGATATTTGTTTTTTCGTTATACAGATAAATAAAAGATCTAATTTGTAATAACCCCCCCCATATTAGTAGACCCCCCTATATTAGAAGACCCCTCTTAAGAAATTATGTGAAATTCACAATAGAAGACTCTGGTCTTGTGAAAGGAAATTTTTTACACTTTTTTTACTTTTTTTCGTTGATTTATTTATTGAATTGAATTTATTGGAGAATACAAGTCACAGCAGGATAGAAGAGAAAGTAATAGCTTATCTATGCAGAATGGAAATACATTTTCGTCGGAAAGAGGAAAACAAATTTCCGCTAGAATGAAATCAAGAGGAAAATGAAATCTATAAATGGTGCAAGAAGGAGAGAACGAATAATATTAAAATTAGTGAATATATAAAATATGGAAGAAGAACATCTTGTACGATTTTATGCCGACGAAGATTCAAATTTTGATGATGATAACAGTTCTGATGATAATTCAAGTGTTGAAGTTACTTCAAGCATTGATGAATGTGAAAATGAATTAGTACGTTTATCAACATATCTTCAATTAGAATCCGATTGTGAAAATGATGATGATCAAGCTTTTGAATGGCCTGAGCCACCTCCATCCTTAATTTCTCCAGACTCATCTGATATCGAAGAATTATGTGATTCACAACAAGTGATATTGTCCGCAACGTCACTTCATAACGATAATATTCGAGAAAAATGTACGAAACGTAAACGACGCCAATGGACAATAAAAGAAAAACTTATTGCTGTTGCA